AARWRARTRAMWAWMAAKAARGARGRATRMAWWYAMWSAYARAWAAAAAAAAAMCTMAAAAATTTTGGCCAGAGWATTTCAGAGGACTTTGTTTTCCAACACTGCAGTCTTTTGGTTTGATTTTTCAAGAGTCTCTACTCGCTTCTGGGTCCAATGAAACCTAAGAACAAACAGGAACCAATTTGAACAGCACACTTATTCTCCAGCTACAGGTATAAAGTTCTGGCCCAGAGACAGGTTTCAATTGCTACGCTCCCTCTGCTTCCCTATGGAAAACTGGGCATAATTTTCATATACATACACCCACCTGAAACCTAACTGGAACAAAAAGCACTTCTCAGGTACAAGTCAAACCAAAGATCACTGGGTAGGTAGAGAAATAAAGTGATGGTTTGTAAACTTTGGGATGAATCTGGGGRTAGGATAACAGGGAAGCTGTATTTTGTGACTTATTTTCAAAACAATCCTAAGCACTACCCTAATTCAACATTATTCCACTTCCTCATGACACACTAATTACACAGTTCACCCCACGCAACAAAATTCTTCTTTAAGGTGTCCTGAAAGTTAAGAGCAGCAGAGGTGCCTCTTTTACAGGTATTTGCAATTGAAATATAACAAAAACACAGCTCAAAGCTAACAGGCAGACTATGCCTTCATCTCTCACAAAACACCTCTGAAAAAGCAACTCCAGTACTGCTCCCAATGTTCCAAATGTCCTCTGTATTACACACAAGCAACTATATAAGTGCATGGTACAATCAACATGTTCTTAGGAGCTCAGCTGGGTTCCTTTTCAGGCATTCTCTGCTGTCCCGGGCACACAGATATTTCTGTTTTGATTGCAGTATGTTGAAATGTTCCTTTGAACTAGTTCTGCTCTAGTTAGCATTATTCTTTTTTTTTAAAGGAAATTAAGTCAGTTATTGACCCAGCGTATGTCAGCTGTTCTCTTTAAATGTAAATGCACAATAAAACCTACAAACATTTACCTAAACGTAATTCCATGATTTAGCTGACATTTTTGTTTTGAGGTTTTATTTGTCCCTGTTTTTACTTCCTGAGCTGCTGCCTGTTTTCCCCATAAGTTCAGGCTCASTGTTTTATCTCCTGTCTCCTCCTTCCACAGCTGCAATCGGTATTCACACACCATTTTATCTGTTGCTCCTCCCAGTGAGGACCTGGGGAGGGGCAGAGCAGCAAGAAGAATCCCCAGAAGCCTCCTTGGGTGTTTAAAGGGTCTGATTACCAACATCAGCAAACAGAAGTAAAGCTGGACCAAACCCAGCAGCRAACAGCACAGGGGGCAAAGAACAGTGAACATCAATGAATGCGCAGGAAGTACCAGCAGAACACACAGAAGATACATGAGCTTTACTCAGAGGTGAGATGGAAACCAAACAGAGTAAAGAAATTATTCAAGGAAGAATGACTGGAAAAAGGAGGTCAGTGAGCAAAAGATAAACCCTGCCGATCACCAGACTAAACAAGTATGGAATAAGCAAACAATAATTGATTACCCAGTTGCTAATTAGGCAGTGTAGCAATAAAGCAATGAATTGTAGTCAATTAAGTGTAAAAATCAAATAAGGAGTAAGTTAATTAACTATGCAGGGAATCAATGACTAATTAGTGAATAATTAATTATGCAGGAAATCAACAGAGCAATTAATTAGGCAGCAATTAAATATGAGGAGAAAGAAAGGAATGGTAATCAAGTATGCAGGTACACAAACATCAGGAAATTCAGCCAAAACCAAGCTGGGACATTCCATTCACTAAACATGCKTTGTGGTAATTCATTATCTTCAGTTTGCCTCTATAAACTGTGCTAAATATACACTGAAACAAATAATACCGATAATTTTCTTCTTAATTGAGGARGTGGAAAATTAAGCCAAAACGTAAGCGAAGCCTTCTTTTTTTAATTCTTCCAAGCCCCTCAGCATATTGCTTAATTAGTAGGGTTTTTTTCTTCACACTCAGCATATCTACAGCAAAGGGGATTTTAACAAATGGATTAGTAAAAACCAAAAGCAAGTTGCAGACTAGGAAGCAGATTCCCTGATTCCCAAAACCCTTCACAAAGCATAAACTAATATCTGTCCTGTTCTGCTTCAAAGCKGGAGGAGGGAAGAGGGAAGAAAAATGCACTTTTCCTGGAAAGATCACTGAAATTAACAGTACTTAAGGGAACCAAGGAATATGTTATTGTCATATACACTTTCAACCATTGTATGGCAAAACCTAGTCCAGAGTCARTTTTAACTAACCAAAAACTTTGATTTTGCATAAAAGGAAGGTTCAGCATTGTGTATTGTTTTGGCTCATTTTTAATAACTACTTTTAAAAGATATACAGAGAAAAGATACAAATCTATGTTTATATTCCCTAAATCATTCTAATGTATCCAAAATTTTTCACCTCTCCTTTCAAAGTAGGCAGCAGTCAACAACTTCTGTAGGTATCTTTGAAGTTCTGCAGCTGTTAAAACGAACTAGAACTCTACAATTAAATATAAAAATAAAAAGTCACTGGATATTTGTTGGTGTGTGRAAAAAGCTGATAGGATGTATAAGTATGCATCTGATCAACCTTCCTAAAACACACAGTAATGAAGTTCAGAATACGAATAATTACTTACTTTCTTCTAAACTTATTACAGAGCTGAAACAAACTTTGTTGCCTCATYAAATTCTTAACAGGAACTTTCTGTAATTAAAAATCTTATTCATCAGACCAGGATCTGGTCTTATTGGGCTTTTTTTTTCCCTTCTTTCTGCTGTTTCTGTACAAATACCAAGTACAATAAAAAATGGGCACAACTCTTCCAATAAGATTATTTGTTTCATAAAAGAACTTTTCACATAYAAATGCTAAGCATGTAAGATATTAAAATGTTCAAGAACAATAAACAAGACTTTTTCTGATGGCGTATTTAGGTAGAAACATTGAAATGTGAGGTAGCAGTTAATATGAAAGCACCATATAAAACACCAGTAACTTCTGTTTAAGACAAGCAACACTATTTCTTARTAAAACAATGGTTTGAACTGATCATAAAAGGCAAATATAGTAGAAGGAATTACGATATCCAGTACTACTGTCAAATACTTTAAAAATATTTACTTATCACATCTTACTCCTTGGCATGTTAGAAACTTTTCATTTTCAAAGCCATTTCAAACATCCAGAATTTTCATAAACATGTTACAATGTCTCTGATTTTTATTGGTTCAGTTGTTGTTTTACTTGAAATCTACTTTCTCTAGACCTCATAACACCTTARTMATTWTTTTAATAAAGATGTTGGCATAAARTAATTTTATTTATCTTCATTTCTTAATGAAAAAATAGAAATAAATCAATATTGGTTTYCAGCAATTTTGTCTATTTTGATTCATCAATAAATTAACATCCAGTATTACAGCACATCTCCAAATCAAAAGCATTATCCTTGGTAAGACAAAAAGAAGTACACGAAGTCTATAAAACAAATTACTTGCTACCACTAGAACAGCAGCACCACAAGAATCCTGTGCTTAAAACCTAAAAATTTACTGTACTAGAAGTGGCAAGTAGAGAATCAAAAGCTATTTTAAGGCTTCCTTTAGCTGAATTTGGGCTATTCTAAACAGTAAGCAACTGTTTCTTAATTCAGCAGCATACGGCGACTGCTGAGACAAAACCATCAGTGCAGAAAGCATTCAATCAAAGAAAAGGAGCCCCTGACCATGACTGTTCTCAGTCTTTGCTGCTAACTA